AGATACTATATAGTGTAAATTGGATCTATCATGTTTCGCAGTATTGTAACAGTCAAACTGTTCGACTTAAGTACCAAACACCCATCAAGGTTCTAGTTTCACTCGAATATTCTTAATTAGGTAGGTACACATCTGAAGGCTAGAGCATTGATCATAGAACTTCTGAACTCTGAATTAGCAACTGCCAATAATTAGGTAAATATTCAGAGGGTGATAAGTAATAACTATAATAGCGCAGACACCGGTTTCAGTTTTATTAATTCGTGAAGAAGCCAATGAATTGGGCAGTGACCAAAAAATATATATTTGAGATGATGCGAGRACGCTACACACATATTTGTTGATATAAAGTGCGTAACGTGACAAATTTACGCTTTGCAGATCACGTTTAGCTCCGATACTATAAAAATATTAAAAATTAAGAGTAAATTGACCTATCATGAAACTTGATGGTAAGAATATTATCTCCGATTGTGTGTGGGTTTTTTACAGTAGTTCAATTTTTTTTACAAGTTATCCGTGTATAAAAGAGCGTTAATTAAACATGCTCGTAACTCACTTAAAAACTGAGTTATCGTAAAAAACTCACAAACACAGATAATGTTCTTGTCATAAATTTACTCTAATTTTTAAACTAACGGAGCTAAAGGTGATCTGCTAATCGTGAATTTGCCATGTTACGCACTTGTAAGACGAAGACAACAATCRTGTCCTCTTAAGGTAATATTCAAATATTGTATTATATTTTTTTATTTTGTTACGGGCGTTACGGCGTTGGGCGGGCTCGGGTTGTTATCAATCATATGTTTGTCTGCTTTATTATCATTAAAAAATTAGTAGATGATAAGGGCGTTCTCTGTTTCACTCTCGAGTGCGGAGTCGGAGTGTGAACTGACTGAACAAGTGAACAACGTTGAAGTTACTCAATAATTCTTTCAAAATCGTGTAAATTGTCTGTCAACGAGTTTACTAAATTGTTGTAACGAAATAAATAATCGTCTAATTAAAAATGGCAATGCACTCAGCAGTTAAGGGTAAACTGTTGGCCGTAATCGGAGACGAAGTAAGTATGGTTACGAAAGTAGTAGCTGTCTAATTATACACGAAAACGAACGGGAGACCCGCCCTTTTTGGTCGATGAATATGTATATTTTTTTCGATTTCAAACAATAAGAAATGTCTTAAGCATTAACGTTTTGTTGTTTTCGTTTTAGGACACGTGTGTCGGTTTCTTGTTGGGCGGTGTCGGTGAAATAAACAAACACAGGCACTCGAATTTCATGGTTGTTGATAAAAGTAATATTATTTTTGGAACACAATGAAACCGATTTAATTGTATTTCCCTTGTTGTTATTTAGATACAGCAATAATTGACATTGAAGAATGTTTCAAAGGGTTTGTCAAGCGAGATGATATCGATATAATACTCATCAACCAAAATGTGAGTAATAGTAGTGCTATCATAGACTTATTAACTTTGTTTACAGGTTTATGTTAGTGATGGATTCACATCAGATATRAAATGCATTTTATTTTAATCATTAACAGGTTGCTGAACTGATTCGTCATGTGATTGAAGGTCATACACAACCGATCCCTGCAGTTCTTGAAATTCCTTCCAAGGATCACCCGTATGACGCTAGTAAAGATTCAATTTTGCGTCGCGCCAAGGTGAGTGTTATGTCTAATTTATTGCAATTTTTCTGTATTACACTGGATGTATAAATGTAATTGTTTTGTTTTGTTTTAGGGAATGTTCAATCCTGAGGATGTATGAGAAATCCATTTACCAAATTATTTTATCATTTGTTTTTTATTGTTAGTTTGGTCACTTTATTTTAACATTCCATTTCTAATTATTTATTTTATGTTCATAAATATCCAGAAAAAATGTTTATTAAAAATATAATATTGTTTATTAAGACAAAACAATAATTATTATTAGAGTAGGTGAATTAAAATGCCTTACATAATATGTTTGATCGTATTCTACAATGAAATCATAAAATAAAAATTGTATTATATATGTCGTAGGCGTATAGTCAAATCAGGCATTTTATTAAATGCCTAGGTATATAGTCAAAGAATTTAATGTTTATGCAATTTCACTATCCGCCTAAACATTTAGTTAAATGACTAGCCATTTGACTAAATGCCTATTTTATGCCAGGCAAATAATAAAAAAMCATTTTGTATTATTTTAAAAATTTWAATATATTTTCTATCAGTTATTTATTACTATTTTATGTATTAAAAAAGCTGTATATTATTTATTAATATGAAAAACACGTAGATATATGAAATAATATGTTTAATTTTGTGTTAATTATTATTTAGTATTGTTTTAAATATGAAATCATAAATATATTCAGGTAATAAATAACTAGATGTGATAAGACATAAATGATAGTACGAGTAGTGAGTACCTACTATATATTCTTATTAAATAAAAATAAAAGTTCCATTGGTTTTTACCTTGGAAAATTAACGTAGGTACTAGGTTGTATGAGAACCTTCTCTATATTGAGTACTGTGGGACAAATTATAGTCTTAGCAATTATAACGACAAAAATATGGCGTTATGGAAAAAGATACAGAACATGCGATAGAATTGTACAATAATTTAGTTTAGTAGGTCTATTACGTATAAATAAATAACTAATAGGAAATATATTTAAATTTTTAAAATAATACAAAATGTTTTTTTATTATTTGCCTGGCATGAAATAGGCATTTAGTCAAATGCCTAGTATATTTAATTAAATGACTAGGCATTTAACTAAATGTCTAGGCGGATAGTGAAATTGCATAAACATTAAATTCTTTGACTATATGCCTAGGCATTTAATAAAATGCCTGATTTGACTATATGCCTACGACATATATATAATTTTAAAAAAATGAGGCAAACAATTGTAGGTAMTATCCTAAAATTGTAAATACCAAATTGTCGAGATGACAAATATATTTTTCCTTAAAATGCTATGTTACCAAGTAAAAAATAATCATTAATAATATAAAAGTCTGCGATAATATGCTAAAGCATTTATTTTATATTAAGTACAATTAATAAAAATGTTAGGGTTTTTGGTATTTATACGTTACTATTGATTAATGTCATTAGTTATTAGTTCATTACCTTTCGGTTTTCATCCAGGTGACATGTACCAGAATAGTATTACTTATAGATATAAGTAAGGTACCAACCCTTTTATAATATATACACAATAGATAAATGTTCAAGTATAATTTAGCACGAGTTTGTTGCTTTTTCGATACTCAAGTGAGCAACTTTTAATTTTACCATTGAAAGTCAATTCTATTTCTAATTTTGAATATAAAATCACAATGTGTTTGTAAATATTTGTATTCAATTACACTGTTATAACTTAAGGCATTGATAAACCAAAAATATTGAAATATTCTGATTATTCTTTTGAACATTATTATTAAATACCTAATGCTTTAATTCATAAATAACAATTTTCAATTTAGTTAATCTCCTACAAACTAGTTACATTTTTAAGGTAGATTGTCAAATGGTGTAAGTATTTTATTGAATTGTTAATGTTGCAATTATCTAATTGTTTAACTATAAATTTTGTCCATAATATTAGCACAGATATTATAATCTGTGATATTAGGCTTGTACTCAATCATATTTGTGTTTTGTTTATAGTTATAGAACTATTAATATTAAAATATAACACACTACATTACTAAATTACATTTCGATAAGTGAAGAATTTAGAAAAGAACATATTTATAACAAGTACTTTGAAAACTAAATATTTATAATACTTATGCAATTATGTGCCCATTTAATTTATAATGTATTTATTCTAAATGCATTGTGATGATACTGCTGAGATTGAAAAGCTTATTTCCTCAAAATTTTAAAACATTCCAGACTTATCAATAACTGTTATAAAGAGTACTTAAAAGATCAATTTATACTTATTAAACACTATTGGCAGATAAATTTGAGTGATACTTAAATACTTTTTTAACTTAATTAAATATTTTCAAAAACACATTAAAGTAAAAAATTGACTTTTATAGATGAATTAAACTATCCTATATGTAGTAATGAAATAAAAAATGTCAAAGACCAAGAGGGAGACCTAGAAAGCGATGGATGGATGGAATAAGGAAGGACTTAGAAACATTGGAAGTGACAAATTGGGAAGATTGAGTCCAGGATCGTGATTATTGGAGAACGATGATGGTGGCGGCCAAAATTCTTAAAGAATTGTAAAGCYAAAAGAGAAGAGAAGATATGTAGTAATCAGTCAAATATAAAATTATCCCATCAAAACAATAAGAATGATTAATATTTTCATTTCCACATCTACTACTAAAATAAAAACTACCTATAGATTTGCGGCAATTTTATATTCTGTRTGATAACCAGAACCGATGTTGATAATGTACATGACCTTAAGCTAAAAATTCAACCATCTTACTATCCTGTAATAAAAAGTATTTAAATATTATTACTTAATTAATAGTTCAACATAATTGTCAATAACAACTACAAAATCAAATAAACTAAAAAAGTACACACTATACAATATATTGTATAATATGAACAATCAACAAGGTTYTGGATAATTTGTCTGGAGCATTGGTAATATTACTATTAGGGACATTAGGGTAATCTAAAATTAAGTTTAATAAAATGTTTATTAATATTAATTATCATGATTCATAATGAACCCTGCTTTAAGAATATAAGAATAAAATCTACTATTGTAACTATATTATTGTTGAGTTTTAACTGCCAACTACGTCAGACAAATGCTTACTAATACTCAATAGTTTTGTTGCCTGAATTGGGGCAATAAAGGCATTAACATTTCAACAAATGGATTTAATAAGATATTAGGACTTAGTATGTAGTTTTGTTTTAAATTGAAAACCAAAAGCATGCATAAATTTGGACATGTTACTATTAAAATAAATAATAATAGTACTCATTTGTCATTATACTTTATCAGTCAGTACAATGTGTCTGACAGGAAGTGCAAATTTTTGATAATTCTTTAAATATAAAATGATATAATTTAACCTACTTAAAGGCTACATTTAATCTTGTTAAGTTCAAACCACCTACACAATGAATGGCTAACTCATCAGAAACTGCATTGTGGTTTAAGCATTCGTTTATATGCTCTCAAGGCAAAATGGAGTCTTTACATTTGGTGACATTACAGTTGATTATCTTTGCGTGTTCAGCCTGCAGTGGACCTATTCAAGGTGATCAAGAACTAAAACCATGTCCAAAAATCAAACCTTTCAATAAAGTCAACATAGATCAGGTAGTAACAATTTGAACATGAACATCTAAAATTAGGTAATGTAATAATCTATTGCAGTTACTGGGAAAATGGTTTTTGGCTATTATGGTAATTGAATCAGAACATGAAGAGTTTGTCGAGGATGGCGTTTGCATTCATGGTGAACTCTTACGATATAATAAAACCACATTGAGACAAGTATGGAACATTGATAATCCATTATTAATCGGCGATCATAGTGCTGTAATAGAATTGCCAACAATAGAAACCGAAGTAGGAATTTGGTCAATACAAAGTCCACTAGGAGGTGCTTTTAACTATAATATCAACACTTGTTAAAATAATATTCTCTAACTAGATTTAAGTGACCATATCATAATTCAGAATTTTTTGCAGGAGATATAACGGCAACTATTATTGATGCAGATCCTGATACACATTTAATATTGGCCTTCTGTGGTAAAAAAGGATCAGAAATATTACATATGTGGACTGTAGTTGTTACACGTCAAAATGGAATTGCAGCACCAGAAACCTTAAGACTGTCAGCTATTTTGGTCAAACATGGTTATAATCCAATGGCAAGTAAAATTATAAGTTGGAAAAATTGTCCGATTTACACAATGATACCTTAAGTATTAACAGATATTTAATGTGATTTTAACTAATTAATTAATACAGAAATAAACAAAAATACTGAATTATACGATTTTTTTATTTTTTTTTATTTTTTTTTTAAACTGAAAATTGTCAATTGTATTACAATAGCTTATATACGGGAAGGATACAACATCTGAAACAAAAACAAATAAAAAATTGTTAGAAAATGGATACAGTATAATATGAAAGATTTAAAGTTTTTACTCAAAGATAATTGTTATCATTATATTTTGATTATTTATCTACAGTATAAATAGCAGTTTTTGATGAAATGAACTTATGGTAAGGTAAAAATTTGAGTTATGATTAGAATGAAAAAAAAAAGATATGCTTACAATCCTGACTCGGTGTCCCATCGCTTTAGCGGGAAGGTTGGTCTTAAACTTTGCTCGTACAGATCCAGTGGCACCATGGGGTCGGGTTACTTTACCCCAGATAGCACGGACCTTAGACTTCTTCTTTGGGCGACCAGGAACTGACACTAATCGCTTAGCCTACAAACACAAATTCAATTAAATTTTATTTAAAATAAATAAATTTAATTTATATGTTAAGAATAAATTTAACATCACAGAAAATTAGGTACAAAGTACATAATAATGAGTATATAATATTCCAATCTTCTCTAAAGAGGTTAGTTGTTTAAGAAAATACAGTTATCAATAAGCTAAAATTAATTCAAATATTTTATAATCCATTATAAATAAATTCCAGATTTTAGTAGTTAATAGAAGGAATTACGATTAATTTAAAATAACGTTTTTTTTTAACAGAGATCTCATGTATTAAATAATACTACTTTTTATGATATACTATTAACAGCATGCAAACTACAAATATAACGTTAATAAAACCAAATAATACATACCCTGTAGACATAAGCTACACGTTTTCCAACGTAAAACCAAGAGTCAGCTTTAGAATCACATCCGTCAACTTTGAGTAGAGCGGTGTTTTCGTGTTGGTTGCGGAGTCCGCGACGGAAACCTGTGAACACTGCCCGGGAGTACAAACGACCGTACGGCCTCTTCTGGCGTCTTTTCTGTTTGACTACTTTCTTCACTTTGTCGGCAGATTCGACGACTTTTTCAGTTTTGACCTTTGCGGCCGATTTACTGGCTTTTTTAGCGGACGCCTCTGGCATCTAAAAAAACGAGATAATACGCGGTTTAGAAATTTCATCCGATTCGATCCTTCGATTTGACGAACGTATTGCGATTAATTACACAACAACAGCCATAACTGGGGATATAGGGCGGTTATTTGAAAACCAAATACAAATTGGAAACGAAAAAACATACCTTTGAAGAGCGTTGAAACGTTGATGAAAAATAATCCGTTCAACAAAAACAGCGAACAGCAATAAATAGAAAAAGGAATTATCTCACGGTAAACAAACGCACTATAACCTGAAAACGACTCGTGTCTCGGTTGGTGGTGGGGGTGCCGAACCGTATGCCACGGCGTCATGGAGGAATGAAACTTAAAGTGATAAGCGCCGCCCGCCCCACATTTAAATATCTGTTTGTTCGGGAAATTTGGGAAAATTTAAAAACTGCTATTTAAATAACTCTCACTCATCTACCCAAGTCAGAGATGATCTTATACAATTTCTTTTTAGATTTTGAACTTGGCTACCGGCTGTGAAATCATATAAGTTTATAATAATATAAAAGTTATATATAAAAAATATAATAAAAAATTTATATAATAATAATAAAAAGTTTATAATAATATAAAAGTTATATATAAAAAATATAATAAAAAAGTTATAATAACCAAATGAAAGCGGTTCTGGCTGGCGGACTGTCTTCGAGAAATCTCCGGAAGGTTTTTCCTCCAGAGGTGGTATCCCCGCCGGTCGAGCGCCCGCACGCACTAATATTGTCGGTGTTGTATAACAATCTGTGCAAGTGGTAAGTACAAAGTTGTGTTAACACGACAAAATGGTGGAACAGCCCATGTCGTCGGTTCGCCCGTGATAATCATAAATCGTAATCGTCTCTTAGTTCTTATTCTCGTCGACTGCCGTTGGTACACAGTTGAGCCGTTACTCGATACTAAATCGAGAGAAGCGTCTGCTGGGAAAAAAGTCAAAAAAGAACGCAAGTGTCAATCTCCGTCCGCAAACGCGACTGAATATTAAACGCGAGCTGACGGTTTTGGTTCGGTGACATTCGAAAACGATCACTAACTCTTTCTATGCACCCACGTCATTTCCATGAAATCTCCTATGTCCGATTGGTGAGTGAAACAGACTACGACGATATTGTTGTTTTCGTAATTGTGTACCCTCCATTGGTGGTTGTTGAAGTACTATCACGTAACCCGCCCCTCTGGCTACTACTWTACAAGCTTGTGTGAAAAGCCCAACTGTCTCATTATCCRAATTCGTGTCGCTGAAGGAAAATTGGTAGTTTTTCGTTTTACCGACATTTCTTGCTGTTGACACTGTTTGTTTTGCACAAACTAATCACGATTTCTGTACTCATCTTGTGAATAAATGATTTTAGATCATAATATTAAATGTAACTGAATGTGAAATTGACTATTAGCCTTAATAATCAATGGATCTTGCTTAAAAATCAAACCTTTAAGAAGAAATCGCAACTTGTTTTAAATTATTGCTTGTGTTTAGATAATAGATACCTGTTGAGAAGTTTATTAGTTTGATAAAATTTTAGTTCAGGATCCATTACCTAATTAAACTTAAGACTACCCTAGTTAAGTACAATATTTATTGGCTAATAGATTTTAATAATTATTTATTTTAGGGTTAAGAAAAATGACAGTTTTATCGTCAGCAGAGACAGCTGAACAGCCGCCACGCAAGAAGTTGTGTTTATCAGCATCCAGGCAACTACAATCTAAATCCTATGCACTCTCCCAACTTAACCCGATGGCATCACCTCTTGACCAGCCTGGTAACTGAAGTTTACAATTTTTCCAATCGAGTTCTGTTAATTTAAAATTTGCAATATATTGCTATTTTCTACATCAAAATTGTTAGTGATTAAATAATTTATCTCTGTTATTAATAATAACTGTTTTTTAAGTCTATTATTATAGTTTTCATTCGTGAATCTTTAATTTTTCAATATGGAACCAGACTTCGAAAGCCACGTTATGTGGTACTTATTAGGTTACAGTTTTCTTATGTTTACTGTTCCTTTCATTGGATTTTTTTCTATGAAATATTTTCTTGGGCAAGTTTTAAATATCCAAGGATATAGAGTTATAGCTATATCCGTTATTTTTTCTGTTATTATTGTACAATTAATTATTTATAGTTATGTAAAACAAGMTTTTAATGAACCTGTCGATACAGTTGATGATAATATTGATGACCATGAAGATGAAAAAGAGGTTAACATTGAAAAAAAGGATCAATAGTTATACAATTTTTTATCTTAACTTATTATTTTCACCGTTCTTTTATTTTAGTGATAATATGCTAGTTGTAAAATTATTGCACATAGATTTTAAGCATTCCTTATAAACTTCATTATTATAATTTAATTTAACGTACTTTATTAAGTACTTTAACTCTACTTTCCAATATTATTTATTATTATCAATAATTTATAATCGTGTTATCTATCTGTGATCAATTTATCTTATAATTTTATGGATTGGCTAGTAAATATTTTAGTTTTAAATGAATAAATAAATATATTGTTAACCCCATTTAGTATTTTTTTTTATCTTTATACACATTCTATTAAGAAAAATATTTTATAGAAAAATCCTATAAAAAAATCTTAATATATCTATCTATATTCTATATATATATACATATATAGTACATCGATCTTATAATTAACTTAAATTTATCTAAAATAGTTATTTTATGATAAACATACATTTTATGTAATGTGGCTTAATAAAGATAATTAATACATTACATTTTAATGTAGWTAGTTCTTGGGTTTAGTATATTTGTTATGTATTAATGTATAATAAAATTATGATACATATAGTCATTATTTTAYTATCAATACATAACTATTTTATCACTTTAAAAAATAAAAAGGTATGATATAATAAGATATTGGTTTATGATATTTATATTAGAATTCATTGACTTAAATATTTATTGGATTTGATTCATCTCCAATATATAATATAATATAAGTGTTATTAGAGGGAAGAACGGATCACATGAGAATTAACTTGGATCAGGAAATATGTTTTGGATCTTTTATTCAAACAATTTTTATTTACCTTTATTAAGCACRAATTGTTCAACTTTAATATTTGTACCTACATAATTTGTTATTAATTATTCTATTTTTAGTTGATATTTTCCATGTAGGTTTTTATGTATGAAGCCTGTTATTAATTTGGTTGAATTCAAATATTTTAATCTGGGGTTAATTTAAACTGAACATTTTAAAACTTTAATAATTCTTTTCCTGTGTAAGGATTTTAAATATTAACAATTTATTGTTTCTGTTGAGTAATTAATTAGTTCTTTTACATTGATAATACATCCTTAGAATTATGTATATTACTTTATTCTTGAATTTAAATATAGGTTGTCTAACAGACAATTTACAACATTATAATTTTCTTTAAAGTTATCCGGCATATCAAGMAACAGCAACAACTGCAGCAGCAGCAACAGCAGCAGCAAATAAACTGTTCTTGTGACAACGAAAGCAATGGGTCCCCTGGTGTGGCAACTTTATGCAATCTTGGTAACACATGTTTTCTAAACAGTGTTTTATACACATTAAGATTTGCACCTTCATTTTTACATAATCTTCATCACCTTATTACTGAGTTACAAGAGATCACAGGGCGGTCAACAAATGGACTCAAAGTACTTTWACCAAGAAAATATGTTAATTAATATAGAATCTCATGGATTTTGTTTTATTTTATTCATAGGGAAAATGTTCTTCTCTGGGTAGAAGTACAAGCTCAGTCAGTAGCAAAATGTGGAACTTTCAATCATCATTAAATGTTAGTATGAACGATCTAAAAATCATACAAGTTACTGAACGTCTCCATCAAGTATTCGAAGCTTTACATAACTGTGAGCTTAAAGACAGTTCAGATCCATATCAACCTGAAGTATTTTTGCAGTCCTTAAGGTATATAACAGATGATAAATGTTTTTATAATTATCATTTTAAATTTTATTTCAATGTTTTGTAAATAGAGATGTCAATCCAATTTTTGAGGGAAACCAACAACACGATGCCCATGAACTACTTGTCTGCTTGTTAGATAATATTAGAGAGGGATGTAAATTAGTCATGCAGCACTCTGCCCAAGTTAATTGTTTTGTTGCACCTGCTCCAGTCGTTCAACCTGTTGCCCCTAATAAATTGAAAAAATTTTCTGGACAAGTGCGAAAATCTTTGAAAATTGCATCCAGTAGTAAAACACGACCAGTCAATGGCATTCTCCCACCTAGTGTTAATATTTCTAGTGATAAGGTGGTTTTACCTGAAAATGAMAATTTTGCTGGTACATAATTTGTTATTTAATCATCTAAAAAAAAGTTTTAAAGAGTTAGATTATATTTTTTTTTTTCAGATGACAAACATATATATGTAGTAAATGGTACTACAAATGCTGTCCAATCTGATGAAAATGATAGCATTCCTAGTGGCAGCAGTAGTAGTAGTAGTAGTACATCAATGTTTGATGATTTTCAAGGTGTATCCCTTCTCCGCACCACTTGTTTAGAATGTGAATTTGTTACAGAACGGAAAGAGAGTTTTTGTGACATCTGTGTTCCTATAAATGGTTTAACCAATGGAGATATATCACCAGAAAATGAATTCAACCCTTATGGTTTGTTGTTTATTTTTGTATTTACTTAATTATTTTCATTTTCTTTAGCATATTGGGTATATTTGTTTTAGATTATGACAACGTAAACAAATTGTATCATTCTGCAATAGTGACAGAAGAATATTTACAAGACACTGACAAATATTGGTGCGAACAGTGTTGTCGATATAATGAAGCCAAGCGAAGTGTTGGATATGAAAGTTTACCTCGATTACTGACATTACATTTAAAACGATTTTGTACTAACTATAGGTATAAATTCACATTTACTCAAAAATTAGTCGCTTACCAAGTATATAAATAACAATTATTAAATAAATTTTTAGAGCTGTCGTGTCAAAAGTGAATGAACACATGCCAACACCTTTGACATTAGAATGTTTTTGTGAAGAGTGTTTATCTCTCAATTCACAACAACAAACTCGAGCGCATAGTTACCAGCTGTATGCCATAATAATGCATTTGGGTGCTACAATTGCGTCTGGGCATTACGTCGCGTATGTTAAGGCTCAGGATAACCTTGATGAGTATATCAACTGTCCTCGTGATCGACGCAAGACTGGAAGYCTTTCTGTCACACCYAATGGTACTTTGCCAGCAAATTATAAAAAATCATCAATATCAAATGGTCTTTTCCGATTTCTAAAAATATCTTCAAAAACATCATCTTCTGGTGCTCCTAATAGTCAATCAAGTGATTCAATTGATTCAGGAAAAGTTTCTTCAATTGGGAGGTGGTGCCGTAGTCTAGAATGTTGTGGAGTAAGAATATTAGATAATTCAGAAGGTGGAGATAGTGTGTGGTTAGAGTGTGATGATGAAACAGTAAGAACAATGTCAGTTGCACAATTAACACAAATATTAGAATCTAAATCATCCAAGAACTCTGCATTAACTCCATATTTATTATTTTATGTTAAAGTGAATCACAGCGAATAACTCATTATTTACATTCATATGAATAACCCATGGTAGTTTTAAATTGGTGACAAATAATGAATCAGAACTTTTAAGTGTTGGCACCCTTACCAAAGACTAATATTTAAGTWCACAAAACCACTACAACTTTTAATGTTTTAAAGTTAATTATACAAGAAAATTAAATTGTTTATGTTATTAAAATTWAACAATTATCTATTATAATCAATTTCCACCATTATATAAAAAATAATATTACTTAATTTAAATTTAAATTTAAATAATATACGATTATCATAGATATTAAACAATACCTTTCAACTAAAAGCAATAATTTATAAATTTTGTATTAAATTTTATTTTTAAAGACATATTGTCAACTTCGATGAATGTATTATTATATTTTAATCAGCATTACACTTATCTCTGTTGATCAAATTGATGGTATACTGATTATTATAATTACTGAAGCAATAAAAAGTATTTTAAAACTTGGAATACAGTTGACAACTAAAATTAAAAATAACTTTAAAAAATGTTAGATATATTATTGTTATTATTAAATATTTAATATATTTTGACAATTATTAGAGAATAGTAGAAACAATCATTATCCAATGAGAGTGTAAATCATTCAAATTATATGTGTGCCAAATRATAAAATACTTTTTGTTCTTTTAAGGTTAAATAACGGCTGTGGTTAATTTTGATGTGAATAAATTAGATATTTTGTATTCAAATCATGTTGATTAAGAAAAGTTATAAGGTTTCACAAACAATTAATTTTATGAACTGAACTTGTTAGAACTGTCTCTTAGTTTTAAATGATATAATATTCATGKTATAATAAAGACTTTATTATAAAGTCATTTAGCCAGCTATGTAAATGTGTGATATTCCACAGTAAATTGTTGTACTATAAGTTATGATAGAATTATAGATAAATGTTTTATTATTAATAATAATCACTTATAAACTAATATAATTTTTAAACTTTATATTTTGAAAGTTAAAATGAAATTGGCGCTTATCACGATAATAWWTCATGGCTGTAACAAACTGGTTGGATATTAAAATTGTTATTATAGATTTCAATTACTATATCTTCCATACGAATCATACAATTTTCAAAAGTATGAGTTATTGTGTTGCATTATTTAAAAATAATTTAATTTTTATTRATTCAATCATTTATAAGACTAAAAACTTGATAAACATTGGATTATKTTGGGTCAAACGTTTATTTTTGGTACATTTAATTGTATTTTAGTGGTAGGTTTTTTTTAAGTATTTAATTATTGATGTGAAGCCTTATGATTAATTATTTGCTTTTTATAAATGTGATATGTTTGTTATTATAGACTGTTAGATTCCAATTAAGAATTAGTAATTCCTCACAARATTAAATTTAAATCAAGTTCTTATATTGCACAACTCTTATAATTTAAGAAATAACTGTATTATATTATRTAATATTTAAAGACCATTTTGAATACAAAATAACTAAGTTGTCAAAACTGTTGGTTAATTATAGAGGTCAAAGTTATAAACAATTTTTTTATTGAAAATTTACYATTTTGTTTCTGTTTAAACATCTACTAATATATATGCTTATCATTTTACTCTCGAGATAGATATATAATGTTAAGTTAAAATACTTGATATTTCTAAATAAAACATAAAATTATATTTAACAATGTAAATATAAAATATGTCATGTGAAATTGCAAAATTTAATGTCATAGTGCCCTGATAAATGTGTCCTCAATGTTATAATTGGTATTTATATATTTTTTGTTTTGAACAACAATCATATAACAGAACTCATCATTTTTTGT